AAACTACAAATTCACAGACAGAGAAATACATAAACATACTAATGCATAGATATATATACAAACTCTCAAGGCCGATATACACGTTATCTAAAAAGAACATATCTTTATCGACAATATTTCTTTCTTACATGTCTGGAAAAAAATTAATGTTTATTTTTAAAGAATTATTACAATTAATATTAAAATACCAAAATGTGTTTTTTTTTTAATTTCATGCATGAGATTTTTAAAAATTATATTTTTTTATAGGAAAAAATTTATATTTTACCAATAGTATATTTTGTTAAAGATTGTAATCAACCTGACAAACATTGATTAGAGCCGTCATTGATATATATATATATATATATATATATATATATATATTGTTTCAATAAACCCAAGGTTTAAGCATGAAACAGAATCATTGATAGACCTCAATGTCCTTTTATATTTATATATGATATATATAAATATATAGTTCAAATATATTTTTTATATATATATATGAAGAGAGAGAGAGAGAGAGAATGTGTTGTTTTTCTCAACCAAACGTAAGACTGAATCTATTCCCTATGCCTGTCAAGCATGGAGAGTTACGGGCCTTACTCGGACACATAACTTATTGCTGGGGCTTTTGAATACATCAATGTAACAAATTGCTTATATAAAACATGAATCGCAAAATTAGACATACAACAGATGTATTCTGTTTATTGTATGCTTTGCACAATAGTGAATGACATAAATATTACTTTAGATATAAATAAGTAAACTGCAATTAGTTAGTCCCAGGTTTTCCTTTGGCCCATTGTGTGATGTTGCTACTATATTTTCTGTCTGTCAAAGGCTGTACTGAAATCTATATGTCATTGACATTGGCTATAATAATGAGTAACAAAACAGTCAAGTGACAGTTGGTGAGACTATTTAACACACGAATTAAATGAGTGTTCTTTTTATAAAACCAGTCCCGATAATTTTTGATAAGGTACATATATATGTTGTGATGGATAAATTGCTGTCTAAATTGCCTTATTTGATGGCACACAAGACGCTCGGTAGAATAAAACGCAAAAAAATAGTAATTAATAAAATTAATAAAAATGGTACAGCCTAGGCTATATTTATAAGGTACCATTTTGGTTAAACAATCCATGATTACAACTAAACAAAAAATAATAGGAAAAAAAAAGAACACGTTGAAACGATTCACACAAAGTTAAGGCACGTTGAGCATGTTCAGTACTTAGATGGGTAACCAGTTGGGAACAACAGGTACTGTAAGCTTGTATGCGTGGGTGGTGTAATGGATAACGGTCGGAATGGAAATCAGAGAGCCGAGTTCGAATTCCAATCGGGTTAATTATATTCACTTACGCGCAAATAACCACGGGCAAGGTAGGAATCCACGTCTTCTCCCCTTAATTGGTATCCGTAAATCCTTATTATATCAAAATGTTCATACAATCTAAAAAATACTTTCTGCCTTTAACTAACCTGGAAAGGGTTGATAAACTGTAAAAAAAAACAAATCAATCAATCAAAAACCTATTACAAATTTAATTTGGATCCAGATTTAATTGTTTTAATTCTGTGCTTCAAAAAATACATTAAATACATGTCGCTGATATTGTTCATAATAAAGAATAAAGAAGGAAGAAAAAAACTAAGTTAAAAAAGTATGAAATAATATTAACGTGGCTAGTCGGGCTGAGTAGCTCTGAGTCTGATAAAGTTAATAGGCAATATAATTCTTGTTTTACTTTTAAAAATAACCTTTTAAAAACCTCTAATGACTTTTTCAAAGAAGATTTCGACTTCTTACCTTCTCATTTTTTACATTATTAACCTTTCCTTTTCCTCATTTTTAATAATTAATAAACTTAGCACACGAAGAAAGAGTTAAGATATAGTGTATGAAGACTGTATAACTCTAAAGTTAAACATCAACATTTTTTGTTTCTGTATCTTGGAAAATAGCATTCAAAATACCAGCTATGTGTTAATTAGTAGGACTTGTATCAGCAAATAATTATTATCTCCCCAAAATTCTTACATTTAAAAAAATATTTTCTGGCTAAAAAATATTTTCTGGTTTACCTGAAAAAGGTTGATAAGCCGTAGAAAACAAATCAATCAATTAATCAGTAAATGCAAAAAATAATAATAATAATAATAATAATAATAATAATGCGTAGAAAAAGAGGAAACTGGCTACAAAAATACCTTGGTATTCTGGAGTTGGCTGACATCTTTAGAAGTGTGATAAACGAACTGACTTTACCGACATACAAGAAAAAGTTAAGGCTTTTTCGGAAGTCTAATAACTGCGTTAATATCTCGGCTGTATTTGGTAAGTTACCAAATTGGTTAAGGATTGGCTGTTTGTACAAAGAAGGAATTATAATCTCTAGACATAAAGTCCGGAACACTGCAGTTTGAGAATGGTTAAGTCTTGGGGGGAAATCATACTCGACAAAGCAAAGGCAAAACATCATAATACTACACCAGTCAATTAATTTTATTAATTGATTGGAGATGTTCGCCTGTTCTTCGTGAACATGGAAAGATAACTACAAAAAGCTCCTACAGAACATAGCGAAGGAAAGCGTGAAGAATGGACTAAATATAAACTACAAGAAGACAGAATACATGGTTTTTAACAAAATGATGAGCCAAAATGTAAATTACAAATCAGGAATACTAAAATCAAACAATTTTAAATATTTGGGAAATGTTCTAACAGAGGATGGAAAATGTGGCACTGAGATCCGAAGTCTCATTAGGATGGCACAGCAGAGTATTAAAAAACTGAAAGATTTCGTTAGAGACAAAGTAAAGAGTATTGAACTGTTATGTGATATCTGTCCTCCTCTATGGCAGCCAATGCTGGACAATCTCCTCAAAGATGAAGAAGAGACTTGAAGCAGCAGAAATGTGGTTCTACAGAATGATGCTGAGGATACCATGGACCGAACATGGGAGCAACGACGAGTTTTTGAAGAGAATGGAAACAAAAAGGAAACTTACACTTAACATCAGGAATAGGCAGTTGAAATTTCTGCAGCACCTAATGCGGAAGGGGGGGCTTAGAAAATCTGATACTCACAGGGCAGATTAAGAGAAAGCGGGACAAAGGAAAACAGCGCATAACATATTTGATGCGCTTGTGTAAATGGATGGTAGAACAGGATTTGAGAGAAATAGTATTGTGCTGAAAGAGACAGGAAGATGTGGAGAGCTATAATAGCCTACGTCCTGAATGGACACGTCACATAAACAAGCAGAAGAAGAACTAGAATTATCAGTAAAATTCTTGTTCAGTATCACAGATTTACTTGCAATTTACCTGACTTTAATCAAAAATATATGTCCTGGAAGAGTAGTGATACACATTGCATATCTCTGTCCATCAGCTGATTTAGTGGTGAGAAGCGGGTTTTTATTTTATGTTTGAAGCATGAAGCAGTTAAGGTGAATTCGTAGTCGCATCTACATAGAAGGAAACAGAGATAATCTGAGATAATCTGAGATAATCTGAGCGTACTGTGTTACTTGAGCTAAAGATATTTCTCACTGGACCCCAACTGCAAATTTAGGTGGATTTCATCAAAACCTGTCACCATATCGTCACATTGGCCTGGAATGTCTGTGACTGGTAAATCCTTATCACACTGGGTGTCATGATGGGTACACTGGACTTAGAATATATATACCCCAGCGTTTCTTTACTGGCGAGCTGCTCTCTCACTCAATAATAATAATAATAATACATGGAAACATCAACAATCACCGTTGTAGTTGGAGCCCTCGGATTGATTGGAAAAGATTCCAGTGGACTAATTGAAGGGATTCCTGGAAGCCCATGCCTTAAAGAAATACAAAAAATTGTTCTCACGAGTACAGCCCACACCTTACGAAGGGCTTTGTCGATGTAAAATATGTTTTTTTTATTTCCAATCTATCTCGCCCAGGCTTTCATTCTCCCCCCCTCTCTCTCTCTCTCCCTCTCTCTCTCTCTCTTTCTCTCTCTGTCTATCTATCTATCTATCTATCTATCTATCTATCTAAGGAAATTATTATTATTATTATTAATAATAATAATAATAATAATTTCTTTGAAGCAAAGAAAAGTCTCTAATAGACTGTTATTCAATATCGTTCCTCCTATATGTTGGAAAATCTCATAGATAATAAAGAGAATTGAAGCAACAGAAATGTGAATCTACAGAAAGATCATGAGAATACTATGGACCTAACATAACAGTTGGGGAACGAAGAGAAAGAGCGGGTGGTCGAAAAATTTTGACTACCCCCTGCTCTAGACGAAAGTGGGTGTCAGTTATCGAAATAATTATTAGCAGGGAAAATTTAAGATAAACGAACAGGATTCAGGAAAACATATGATGGCGATTGACGCTGCATTAAATGTTTTTGAAGAACGTAGGTAGCACGGAAGCAAGAAACCGAAAGAGATTCCCACGGGCGAGAAAAGGAAGTATTAGAATAGAACTTGCGGTTCCATCTAGCTAATTCAATCGTAAAGCGGTGAGACCCAATTGCCAAGTACTAGTAGTACTCTTAAATTCATGCAGTCGAGGTACCTAGGGAGAAAGCTCATGATAACAACAGTCAGGAAAATATTTATAGTAAAAAAACAAAAAACGGAGGGAAGCAACGTCATGGTAGTGAGAAAGTAACTGAAGTCAAGATGCCAGGTCAGGACCTATTATGTGACCGACCCTTCTTTAGAATTATGTGGAAAATCTCGAAATATCTAATAGGAGCAGAAAACCAGACAGGGAAACTGTATTCCATGTTTTGTTTTTTTCAGATAACAATGGTTTAGCGATACAAGTCTTATTAATTAACCCATAGCTGGGGTACAATAAGTAGAATCATGCCTTTCCCATTGTTATTTGCGCGTAAGGAATATAACAAATGAAATGTGAATTGGAACTCAAACTCCCCGATTAAAAATTCCTGCAATTAACGATTACACCACCCACACATTCAAGCTTACAGCTCCTGCTATTCTTAAGTGGTCACCCATCTAGGTATTGACTAGGCTGGACGTTACTTAACTTCGGTTATCATACGGGAACCGGTGTTTTAATGTGATGTGACCGTAAGCCAGAAGAAGATTGTGTTGATAGTAAATATCGTCGTCGTTGGATTTATCTCGTATCCAAGAATTTAACTTCTTTTTACTGATCGCTTCCTTTATGATGATGGCGTTGATGACTAAATTCATCGCCAACATACAGATTCAGGACAAGAGGCTTCCAGTTTTACCAAAACCTGTTCCCAACAAAATTTGGTTGAAGGTGAAACAAAATTAGAGAAGAGGAAATTGCTGATGTTATTAATTTGTTTACGGTGGACCTCAACATTGACAGGAAGTGACGCCACACAATTGATTTCATGACCTACCTCTGCTGCACATATGGAATGAGTCATGCAGAATTCAATTATAAAACAGCAATAGACTGCCGCTAACTTTCGTGTGGCACCTCCTATAGTATGTCAGTTATGCGTAGCCCTCTTTATCTGCTTATAAACTTTGGTTATGTGAATATAAATTGTTGTATCAAGTTCAACAGAAGGAAAATATTCAACCCTGGTGGGTTTAATAATGAGTTAAATTCAAAATTTAGAGAAAGTTACTAAAATACAATAGGCAACTGAAGAAGGCCGGAGAGCACAACGGTCAAACTATTGTGACTACAAGAAAATAGATAATGACCAAAATGTCGGATAGATCAGTGTAGAATAAAAATAGACATTGATTTTTCATCATTACGCTACAGACTTATTAGTATACATACGTGCATATAAGCCGTATCCTGTCAATAATGTCCATTTTAATACCTGACAATTCATTTATTCATATAAATCCTACCCAAGATATTACAGGATACGTAGACAGCTAGTCGATTATATCAAAGTTTCTCTTCAGAATTTATTAAAATAAAAGTCGTGTTCATTATGAAAATCAAAGTTGATTCAAGAAAATGCGCTTGAAATACATTGGTCGGTCGTGAACTAATTTTGCCCTGACTATGGGACTATTTCTTACTCTGTTGTTTGAGGTCAAAAATACAAAGAATATAACCCCTTGCGGCGAGTTTAACCCGCCCAAAAAAGAGGTCACCAATTTTCTATACCTAAGACTACCTTTTTGTCACTCGTACAAACCTGACTTATATCTACCTTTTCTTTTCTCAATCGAACCAAACCTATGTCTACCTGTTTTAATCTCATGCAAACGAAACCTATATCTGCGTTTCTATTATTAATCAAATTGACAGAATCTATTGTTAATCTATTGTTAATTAAATTGACAGAATCTATTGTTAATCTATTATTAATCAAATTGACAGAATCTATTGTTAATCTATTGTTAATCTATTGTTAATTATATTGACAGAATCTATTGTTAATCTATTATTAATCAAATTGACAGAATCTATTATTAATCAAATTGACAGAATCTATTGTTAATTTAATTATAAATTGACAGAATCTATTGTTAATCTATTATTAATCAAATTGACACAATCTATTGTTAATTTATTGTTAATTAAATTGACAGAATCTATTGTTACTCTATTATTAATCAAATTGACAGAATCTATTGTTAATCTATTATTAATCAAATTGACAGAATCTATTGTTAATCTATTGTTAATCAAATTGTTACAATATATTGTTAATCTATTGTTAATCAAATTGACAGAATTTGTCTTTAAATAACCTGGAAAAGACTGATTTGCTGTAAAACAATCGAAACTAAATTAAACCACTTTTCTACTTCAGTGTCAAAGAATTTCATTACATTTTCTATTCCGTCTTCTAATATTCATTGCATTTTTATCTTTCCAGAATTGAAAATGCTGAAATTTTTTCCTCTACTATTCCTGTGTGTGCAAGCCATTTTCGCCTTATCTCGAGAGGAAAGTAAGTTGTCTTTACCTTTTATCGGATTTTTTTTAGATTAGGAATTATCATTAATATATGCTTTGCCATCCACCGTTTAAACGTAAAGGTGCGAAAAATCGAAAGTTAACCTATGAAATCAGGCATAGCTGATCATATATGAAGGGAAAGAAACTGTTATCATCCCGTGGAATGAAAGCAAGATAATAGAGTGAAAAAAAAATTCGAGGATAAAATGAATGAAAGGGTAAAAAGCTGTTTTGCTGATAGGTTTAATAATTATATTGTTTAATTATCCAAGTAAAACTATTTGTTCTGTTATGGAAGTGGTGACCACCTTAGCATTTAGATCACAATTTGAGACTATATTTATAATTTGAGTATATTTTTTTAATCTAACAAATATTGTAAATTATAATGAGATGTTGTATATGAAACAACTAACAAAATTCTTAAACCTGTCAAACGAATATATTTATGTGAATTTCACTAATGTTACTGCAAATTCAAATCTCTTAAAGAAACGTTGCAAAGTTGATCAAAATAAAATCGCCCGGACAACGTAGAATATCGCTGCTGGTAGGATAAAATGAATGAAAGAGACGCCATCAAAATCCTGCTTTAATAAATTTCATCTGTCAGTGTGGCTTTGTCGCCCGCAGCAAGGCTGGGATAGTGTCACACTTAAGAAAGCACAAATGAAATATGTCTTTCTCTTACCTGCTTTTTCCCCACAAAAGCCCCTTCTAGCATGCATAAGTATAAAACGAAAGGCAACATCCAATGGTGACCCTCATTTATCGTTCACGATAGGAGAGTCCACCATATATATATATATATATATATATATAAAGAATTAAACTGCTGGTAAAAGCCAGTGTGTTTCCTTTCTAACACATAAACCTCTTGTTTATTTTTAGTTGTCCCAATGTATATTTCTTATAAACATGTTTCATTGAACATTAAAGACCACAGAAATTTGATCAATTTTTCTTTAGATTTCCCAACATTCTTACATTTTTCCGTTTAGTAGGAGTAAGGTGGGAAATAACTCGCCCGTATTGTCCATTGTCCAGAAAAGCTTTCGGTGTTGTTAATTTCTCATCATATTCGACTGTTTAAGATGTATACTGTATACATACAGGGGTTGGAAAAATAATTGGAACAGGTGCAAATTCCACTCCTAATATGTTAAGAACTTTAAGTAAAACTTCGTAATTGCAGGTTATATCGATTGTAAATACGTTTATTTATTTAATTTACTGTCTTTGTCGTATTTATTTTTAGAATTTAGTAAAATTTAAGCTAAATGCGTGATTTCTCCGAGTTCGAAAAAGAGCAAATTGTTGGAGCTCGCATGGCAGAAGCCTCGATCACTAAGGTTGCTGACTCTCATTTATTGTTTACGATAGGAGAGTCCACCATAAATATAAGCTCTGTCATATATATATTGTTTTATGGCACTCAATTGAGCTTTTATGGCACATTGGTGGTAATAAAACAATGCATGATGTATGACAGAGCTTAAACTTATATTAATTAAAAAAATGCATTTTTTTCCTCGCCGGTAGCACAACTCTGTTTTTCATGCAGGATGCAATCGTCAGGTGCTGATTGAAAAAGCTGGAATGTGTCAAACTCATCTTGCTTACCATACTGATCAGTCGCAATTCTTGATAATGACTTCGGTGACAATTGAAAGTAATCGAACATATACAAATGTACAAAAATGAACTATAGAATATTTTACATCTTTTAATTACGGAATTTCGAAAGACAATATGAATTCTTGCTACCTAAATACATCTTATATTTTATACAGAATGGTATGTTCATGACTTGCTTTAGTTTGCCGATTGGACACAATGGTGAAAAAGAAGTTTTAAAAAAAACAGTGACTGCTCCTGCTTATAACGCTTCGCTCTTCAATTATCAATTGAGAGCTCTGGCTGCTGATTTGTCTTTTATATACATCACGTATATAATACGTTAAAAGATTCCCTTTCTCTGCCGAGCACTGATAGCTTAGGTGTAGAGTCTCTGACATATGCCAATTCTGTCAAGTTTCGATGCCGGCTTGAAACAATCGGATGTCTACCACACAGATGAGCTGTGTCACAGTGAAACTTTTATGTGGATATATATATATATATATATATATATATATATATATATATATATATATATATATATATATATATAATAGTAAATGAAGTTTGTCTTATAAATTATAGATATTATAGGCTGGTGAAATATTTGTATCTATAAAATAACGGGCAAAATAATAATAATAATAATATCAATATAAATATATATATATATATATATATATATATAGTGATATAAATATATATCATGTCTATTTATTATTTATTTTAATCCTCTCAATTTCACGGATCAATTTCTGTAAATGAACTGTTTTGGGATATCCAAATTGTATTATTTTTTAATTGCAGGTTGAGTATTTTAAAACATTAATAATAAAAAAAATACAAATTAAGTTATCTCCCTTACATATTCTTAACATTAATTTTTAAATTGACTATAACGGAGCATGTTTCATACTTCATCTCAGCATTTACAAAATGAGATTGAATTCTTAGGAAAATAAAAGTAATGAGAAAAAACTGACTAATCATTTACATTACTTCATTTTCTACTCAAACGATTGCGTTTAAGCACAAAACAGACTGTCACCAACCCAATTTAACCATGAAGATGATATTGGATGAGATTGAATGTACTTTTCACTTGAATAATAAGTGGCCATGTATAGAATTAATAAAAATAATCGTAGTTGAATTTTTTGTAATTGTTCTGTCCGCTCTTCTGGAACCTTCAGCAGCTGTTTGACGTTTTTCACATTGTTCGTTATCGTTATTTTTTATTTATTTTCTTAATCAGCAAGGTGGGGGTGCTACAGAGTGTGAAGATGAGAGAAAAAACTGGGTATGAGGTGGGGGGTATTGAGGAAAGGATAAAAGATGAACGGGATGCAAGAATACAGATGATTTTGTTTAACGTTGAATTTAAATTTTTGAAGATTGTAGTTTTCAGGGAAACAAGTAAAAGGAAGAGAGTTCCACAGGTGGGAAGTGCGATAAAAAAAAACTGTTGAAGTAGAAGTGGCGGTTGCATTTAACTATTTCAACTGTAAAATAGTGGGACCTAATTGCCAATCTAGTAGCGCACT